CTGGGATGCCCCTGATTAGTGATGGGACACCAGATGACTTAAATCATTAAACAGGATTAGGCCCATTAACACAAGCCCAGTTACAAGATAAGTTAAACATAAGAATGGGCTAATAAGAACTCTTATCAGCCGAACATCACTCTAACATTCTAACACACCAAAATTGACGTTTGCACAAAGCCATTCTTCAGAAAATATTTTTTATCACTACATTGCAGAACTTTATTTACCTGGGGCTACCTCCAAGAAGAAGACCAAGATGCTTAAGTGCCACTATGAAATCTCATGTTCCATTGATGCACCAAACTTCTCAAAGCTCTTTCTTTTTTATGCAGTGCTATTTATGTGGTTATGCCAAAGTTCACATTTAGGCTTAACAAGAAACTAAGGTTCTCAGAGAACAATTAGAAGGCTAAACAATAGAATTATAAAAAGCAAAAAGGTAATTTTTGGCTTTAATATCCTCCTTGGCATTACCTTATCTTTTTCCTCTTATGATACTTCTTACCATCCTTTTTATAGAAAAAAGGATGGGAAAGACAGAGCATTAATTGTGAAGTGGTAAGGAAAAGCTTCAAGAGTTTCATTTTCATAAAATATTTGGCCCCAGACAGATCTAGTGGCAAATTTAACCCAAATATAGTCACAGTTAATCAAGTAATTTTGTGCTGATATTCCCTCATTGATTCACCATTGCAACTGAATCAAAAAGTGACAAGTATCATCCAAACCAGCCACATGGAGCTCTCACTTCCATCACTTCATGCTGTGTTTGCTAGATTTATCAAAACCGGATTTGGTTCATCAAAAATTTTTTATCACCATAACTGACAATTTAGAGATCCTCGTTGCAATAATATTCTCACTTCCAAGCTATACATCAATCTCCCTATAAGCCAAACGCTCCCTTAGTTGACAGTATATGTATCTTTCTTCGAACCAGGGGTCAAAAGTAACCTTTCAGATACAATTGTTTAGCATCATCCCTGTCCACCACTACCGTGACCTATTCGTGCCACAGATTCACATAAGTTGATCATAGACACCAGTCTGAGTCATCTGATAGGGGGAATCAGCATATATCCACCAACTAATGACTCATTCATGCAGCAACCATGAGAGTACCTATCATATCAACGTCACAACAAGCCTTAATATCTCTCATCACCATCCAACATGACTACATGTTCTTTGCATTCTTTCTCCATCTTACACACTTTATACATCTTATGCACTGAAATTAATTGCAGAGGAGGTCCCAATCTGATAGTTCCATATTGCTTCCATAGTTTGTCAAAACATCCTCTCTTTTAAACGATCTATTAAAAACAGATTAGTTTTTAATGGAAATTGCTCGGAAAACCTTTGGAGGTTTTTCAAGTTAAGTAATTTCTCCATTCTTCCTGGCATTTGCTCAGTTGTTCTTCTACTTAAAAAAAAAAAAAAAAAATCACAAGTAAGAGTGTTCGACAGCACATGTAGTCTTTGGCGCCAGATACAAACTTGATGGATGAGGAACTAATTAAAAAAGAAGTGGATAAACAATCCGAGAGCAGAAACTCAGAGTCGAGACCAGTCCGATCGTAGAGACCAGTCCGATCAAAACTCAGAGTCGAAGTACTTAAAAAGAAACCTACTTTTCTGAATTAACTAAACCTCAGAATTGAGTGTCGTAAAAAGGAAAAATAGAAAAGTTCAAGGATGGAAGCAAAGATCGATAACATTTAGCTCAGAGGCGAGACGTAACAATTGAAACGAATTAAAGAAAAAGAAATGCAAACACCATCCAATAGAAAGAATTCCAATCAAGCAAACGAACTCTACTGAAATATAAATAGATTATCTGAAAAATGGAGGGAAAGATCGAACCTCGTTTGCTCTACAGTAGAAGGAAGCAACCAACTCAAAATCACAATTCACGGCAACCAGTTGCTGAATTAGGACAGTTGCCTGTTTATGTAAGGTAGGTGGAAAGTACGTTAACGAAATCGAGTTCTGGCTTCTGGCCAAGGCCTATGATGAAATTACTAGAAATGCCCTTAATGGAATTACGTTCGATATTGATTTGTTCAAGAAACAGGGAGATTTTCGGCAAATCGCTTTCGTCCAAAGTCCAAACGGACAATATATAGCTAGTTCGACCAGGGATGCTTCGTTAGTCATGTCAACCGATATGGGGATGCTTCTCTTCCAAGTTCCAATTCCAAAGACCAAAGTCCCAACTAACCGTCAGTCGCTAAAGGACAACACTTGCTAATGCATACACGTGGCGGATTTAACGCTGCAATGCATAACTCGATGGAGTAAGTGATGATCCAGTGGCGCGCTTTCATTGGATATTCCTACGTTTGACTCTAAGAACTAAGAAGAATAAAAAATTAGGGATTAATAGGCTGCACTCCACCTCATAAATCTGACATACAGCTCTCTCCTATTCCCTTATAAACAGCATTCTGCTTGTAAATTTGACATCCATCTACGATTAGATTTATTTCTGTACGATTGGCAAATTTATTGGGTGGACTGAACAATAAAAACCCAAAAAAATTAAGGATCCGTTTCGTTTACAGTTAGAATTGGACTCAAATTCTTCAGCGGAATGATTTTTCCCTTAAACCGTTTGGTGCATATGGAATCGGAATGAGAATCAGAATTAATTTGAATGGACTCTAATTCTCTGATGAGGGAGAGGGAATGTCATTTTCTCAAATATAGAAATGCCATTCCACCAGAAATAGGAATGAGATTTTCATTATGTCAAACCAAATAGTTGGTCCATTCTAATTTTGATTTCGGACCCTTATCCCTACACACCAAATGGACCCTAAGGCTCATTTATTAAAATGCCCTTTCTAGTTTCAGAACTATTAAAACATCTCATATACAACCAATTTAGTTAATCTACATTTGATTAGGAACCATTTGTTTACCAACTGGTTAGGAATCATTTGTATTACCATCTAAATTGTTCATGTGATTACATAAACTGAGTAAAAAAGGTTTAAGGGTATAGGTGTAGGGCTGTTAATGGACCGGATATTGGTTCAACCTGATCCGGTCCAATATTAATCTATTATAGATGGATCAGGTCCAATCCAATCTGATAAATATTTTGAACTGGACTGGTCCAATTCAATCAACCATCCAACATATTCAAATTGGTTTTAATTCAGATAGCATCAAATCCAAACCTAGTCCATTGACATTTTGACAACACTACTCTTATCTTCTATCAATGAATATACTAGATATTGGTTTAACTCAACCTAGTCCAATATAAATTTATTAAAATGAACCAAGTCCAATCCAATAAGTACTTTGGACCATTAAGGCTGGAGTTTGGACTGGTCTAATTCCCATTCAAATTGGCTCTGATTCAGATAAGGCCTAACCCAAATCCAATTCATTGACACCCCTAGATGAGTGTATAGTTGTTTATTTCAAAGTACCCCTTACACTTCATATCAAACTTTCAGAAAGATCAATGTTTGGTTTCAGTAGAATGAAGAAGAAGAGAGAACAATGTTCCAAAAGTAGCTGTATTTTTCTTCTTTGAACAATAAAAAAAAATAAACAAATAAAATTGACCAAATGGAGTGGTTGTTTGTGTTTTACCAGAGAAAGAATGATATTTTATTTTATTTTCTTTTGATTAAATTTGTTTGAGCAAACATTAGGATCAAAATTATCATTTTCCACTTCATCTAACAAAAGGTCAATAGAGTAAAATAGTTGCAAATAAAAGGAGTTGTTTTAATAAAATGCAAACTATAGTGTAAGTTTAATAAAACCACATGGTATGGTTTTAATAGGGCTGTAAATGGATCAGATTTGGCTGCATCCGCATCCACAGTGGATTATAGAACCTTTAGACCTGCACCTACATCCAATTATCGTGTCAAGTTTAGGATCGAATATGATAATTCAGATCTCAGTCAAGTATATTAAAGTTTGCTTATTTTTCATTGGTTCATATTTGTACTTCCATGTTTAACAGGATCTACTTACTATCATGTAGATGCATTATAAATTTTGCCTAATTTAAAGTGCAGTGGGCACATCATAAATTTTGCCTAATTGGATTCTAAAACTCAACACTGAGATGATAACAGCATATGCGAAATCCAATTGTGAAACAACAAATGATGAACATGGTCCGGACTTCATGAGACTGTGCTCGTTGAATCATACAAAGTAATTAACTTTATTCATGTCCAAAATACCAATGCAGTTACTTTTGATCAAAATGTTTAGTTTTCAAATTTTATCTTCTTAATATAAATCTCTAGCACAAACCCTTCCAATCTCCTTTCTGAAATTGATTTATTTTTCAAAATTTCCCTTCATAACAATCACTCAAAGGAAAAGTTGCAACTTTAAAATTTCTAGTTTCTTGTTATTTATAAAAGGTTGCTTTGTTTTGTCCTATAGAAACCAACCTCAATAGTGATTTCATGGGTATCTTGGACATTATGATGCCTTTTGTTAGAGAACTCTAATAGAGGAGATCTTCTTGCAACTGTATCAAAAAGTTCATCACTTTATGGGAGGTAATTGAAATTACCAAACTTCAAAAGGTTTCAGCAATTTATCCTTTTTTGGTTTATTTTTTCCATCCTGACTAAATGCTTAGGGCAGCCAAATTAATAAGTCAACTGTGGTGAGATCAAATCAGCCCCAAGATTGCCCCCGACAACATCCCATAGCACATCCTCGCCATGTATTGGGAACATCTATAATACCAGAAATGATGATGTCATCATCAAGAGATGTTCTCAATACACAGCGGAGATGTGCTGTGGGACGTTGTGGGGGACTGGTTTGAACTCAACTGTGGTACGTATGAGTAGGGCATGCATAAGATGGTCCTTACCAATTATAATTTTTAATTCATAGACACCAGTAAGATGGCCACTTGTCTCCAATAAACCTTTATCTGATAAATACCCTATCAATAAATGCCAATGAAACCAAACACACGAGTGCATTAAAGTATCCCGTACAGTTTATATCAAACTTTCAGAATGAAACAATGTCTGATACCTTACACAAAGCAGCAAGTTATCTTCCCCACCCCCTTGTCCCCCCTGTAATGTAACATGATACCAAAAAAAAGGCATTAAGCCATCTCCAAGCTGGTGTTATTAATAATTCTAGGATCCAGCAACACAATCTTTCAATGCTGCAGGTTCATCAGATTATTCTAAGTTTTACATTGACGTTTCGTATGATCTTGCCACAAGTACGGGAGGACTTGTTTTTATCCAAAAAAAAGCACGGGAGGACTAACTTTCATCATCCAATGCTCCATTAACACAACCATTGCTAGGAGCCCCATGATAGGCGATTGAAAGTTATGATGCAGAAACTTGAGCCTTGATATGTGGTCTTGAAACAGCTCCAGCAGCTAAGTGTAACCTCTTGAATTCTGGTACTAATTAAGCCAAGTCTGAAGATTAATGCTCTCTTTCATACTTATCTTTTTGTATATGTAAATAGACACCTAGGAGTGTTGTGTAATGTCATCCCCAATAGATCCAGTCCAGTGCATTTCAAACCATGAGTCCCATCATAATGTGTCTGAAATTAGAGGTTCTGAAGGAATGCACCACTCTTTGATAGTGGTTTCCATGTTAATTAAGGTGTAATGTCATCCCCAATCGTACCAAAAGTGTGGTGTGAGAACATGAAAAATAAGTTGTGGAGCCACATATTGTTGGTTGTAAAACAAAGGACTACATCAAAAATCACCTATACACTGAGGTGTGTATTAGAGTTAAGATAAAACACAAAAATAACGTGAATCGAACACCATCCTAGTAGTTGTAGTGGAGACTTGGGTAGGAATGTCAATGGGTCAGGCGGTCAGGTTGATGAACACGACCAGGTAATGGGTCATTTTTGGATTAGATGAACAAAATGGCCCACATCATGTTCAGGTTGAAGAAAAACCAACACTATAGTGTAACTGAGTCATAGCAGCAGTATAGGGGCTACTCAATGAACTACTGGTGCATCTGGCACTATTTCACCAAGGCCCGTTTGGGAGGTCCTCTGTATTGATTGTGTTGCATTGATTGAACTGCTTCGGAAAAGTTATATTTGAGATAGCTTCATCGGAAAGTCAATTCTGAAAATTATCATATAAGTCTATTTTCAACTTTCTAGATTTTTATCAAATAAGCTTCACGGAGCTGACTCGTGTAACACCAGAAATTGCGGCATGAAAGTCCTCCCAGACGGGTACTAAATACCAAAACATTAAGGTGCTGGAACATAAAAGTGTGGGTGATGATTCAAATTTTCATCAATTATATATAAATGATGCTTGAAAGTTGAAACCCAAGATGATGGAACTCGCATACATATACATGAAGAAATGATAGCTTGTGCTGACCTTTTCTGGGTGTACATTGGGCATGATATGGGAGAGAATCAGAGAAATCCAAATAAAATATAAAAAATAGGAGGAATGGCAAATTATACATATACATACATATATATAGCTACCTAATTATTGGGGAAGAACATTATTCATACCGTTTGATTGCAATCTGAGTTTGACTGTGCAGATTCTAATATAGTACGTGTTTGGCATCGATGCTGTCGTTGCTTCAGAGCCACTTTCTGAGAAAACGGTGTATGGATAAGGGTCTGTTGCACCGTTTTTTTTAGAAAACTGCTCCTTTTTTTATTTGACATCAATGCTGCCACATAGGGTATTTTCTAGGGAAACAACACTGATTTTATTTTGGTACTAGTGCTATATAACCGTTTTTAGCATTGGTCTATATTATCCAACGCTTCATATGATGCCACACTGCTGGTGCCACGTACTATTGGCAGCAATGATTCCAAAAACAAGAAAATGCCAAATTAGATGTTGTCTCAAACCACGCCTTCCCGAATTCTAAGGCATGGTCATTTTCTTTGCGTTTTATGGAGCAATGGTCCCAAACAAGTTTGTGTTTCTTAGCGCACTGTTTTCTTCAATGTGGCGCTGATGTGGAGCCGTTTTCTGAGGTAACGACATCGATGCCAAACACCACCATAAAGGTTTACAATTGCAATTGCTGCTACTCAAAACTAAAAGCTTGAGGGTTTCTGCAATGATTGAATTGTGAATCTCTTTCGAGAAGTCTGAAAGTGGTTTATTGGATAATCAATTTTTTGAGTTCATGTAAGCCCATTCTTGGCTTTCTAGATTTTACCAAACATGCTTTATTCAGGGCCAGTTTGTCTTTTGGGTTTTGAGATGAGGGAAAATTGGTAAATGGAACTTTGGTTTTTATTGACCGAGATATTCATGTTCTTTTTTTTTTAGATTTATGGGAGTTTTATGGAAAATTCATTTTACCAAGGTATCACTTACCCAAATAAGTGATACCCATCTCTTAGATGGATAAGTAACTTTCGTACGTAGGAGAAAGTTGACAACACTTGGATGAGACAAAACTACCCCTTTTAATAATATTTTTTTATGGTTAGAATAGTCATTATCTTATTTACCTGGAAAATAAAATAACATGAATTAATACACTTAAGTAAATAGCTTCCCAAAAAACAAACAGGGCCTTAGGGTTTCTTTCTTTCTTTTATTTCTTAATTTGTTTTCTCATACAATGAAATAAGCCGTGAAAGCCCTCCCAATCAGTTCACATCGGTGCCCCACCAAGCGCACCACACATGTACATATAGGAGATATTACCAATGTACTGCAAACATCTCTCTTACTTGTCATTGGGAGCCATTACCATTAAATGGTTGGGATGTGTTGTGGGGCATGTTCTACTCTGTGAAACGCCCATGCAAATTCCCCAATGGGGCACTAAGGTTATATTTGGTTTGAAGGAAAAAGTAAGAAAAGGAAGGGAAAGATAAGAAAACCCATACAAAATATAAAAGTAAACACATCAGCCAATTCCAACTGTTTGCAAGATATATCAATAACTGAGCAACCTACATTTGCTATGACAACATCGTAGCCCTGCAGTGAAACAAGTAAATTAAAGCCTTTGATTTGTAAAGTGAGTTCTTAATGGGGCCATTGCAGCAGATCAAGGCCATGATAGTGTCACACAGCGCGCCTCAAAAATGTCCCACAGCACATCTCAGCATGCATGGGAAACATCTCCCGTATTTGTCATTGGGAGGAGTTCAAATCTGTGCCCCATGGTCGGGCACCCCACACAATGGAAATCCACCACCTATCCTTCTACACGAATTCCCTCCTCAGTGCATGCATAGCTAATGGGATGGCTGTTTGTTCTGAAAACTCACCCAAAACCTCAATCTTCATGTTCCCACCCTCAACTCAGAACATGTGTGAGAACCCTTGGAATCTTTGGCAATTTTTCGCCAAAACCAATCCAAAACAGTAAGGAACTAACGTCAGTGTTAGCCCCACACTTCCACGCCAGCTTACCCATTACTATCTTCGACACAGCACAACCAATAGCAGAGAGCCCATATGTCAGTCGGCACCTCGTGTTCATTGCAGGTGATGGATTCTAGCAACATGTAAAGCAGAGTACCTCTTAATCCAAACACCCCACCTTCTGTTCTCTTGCTCTCTTGTCCTGGCCCTGCCTTCTTCGCCAGCCCAAAATCAGCAACCTTAATCTTGTTGCTTCCATCCGGAGAAGAATAGAGGAGGAAACGAAGACCTCGGAGATTTGATCTCATGTAACGTCGAGCATTAAATTCCAATAACGAACCACCAGATTTTTTTGAGCAAATCAGCTAAAGTACCTCCAGAAGCGTACTTGAGGAAGATATTGTAAATTTGTTTCCCATTCTCAATGATAAGATGGGTCAGATCTCTTTCTCCACTTATAGCGAGGAAGACTTGGAAAGCACAAGGATTTCACTATCATTAATTGAGTAACCTGAACCAACAGACTATTATCACTTTTGGGTATTGCCAAATTTACGATGGCAAACATGGTTTTCAAAACCGGACCGGACCAAAAAAACCGAGAATCGATCACCTCCATTTTCCCCTAAAACCACTTTTTTCCCCAAAACCATTGATTTTGGTTAGCAAATTGCTGAACTGGCCAGTTAACCGTTCGAATGATTTTGACCATTTTTCAATTTTTTTATATTTTTTATATTTTTGTCAGAATGGGCCAAACGATCGGACCGTTCGAATGGGTAACCGAACCCATGACTGATTCGGTTTTAAAAACCATGGTGGCAAAGCTTCCCCTGCCGACGGGAACATAGAGATTGGGGTTTTGGGCGCTTTTGGAGCTAATGGGACAACTAACGGCCATTGCATTAGTTCCACATGCGTTGAATAGGAATTCGTGCGGGAAGACAGGTGGCGGGTTTCACGCACGTGAGACGTTTGTGAGGCACCGTGGGGCACAGATTAGAGATGTTTCCAATACAGGATTGGCCTTAGGGCGTTTTTGACTTTTTGGGGCGCGCTGAATGGAGCAGAAATATAAACTTGCAAAAGTAAACGAGTTCACATATATTCCCACAGAACGCGCCCCAAAAACGCCCTACATGCAATCTCAGCGTATATATATCAAATCAGCCCCCTACAACGTAGTACATCCTCGCCGTATATTACAAATATCTCTTTATAATAATATAAAAAATGATAATGTCATTATCGATAGATATTCCTAATATACGGCAGGGATTTGCTGGGATGTTTTAAAGGACAATCTTGTGGAGACTGATTTTAACTCTTAAAAATAATTTTCGATACTTATTATTGGGAGATGTTAGATACACCGCTGAAATGTGCTTGAAACGTTTTTGGGGCGCATCCTGTGGGGCAGATTTGAACTCAAAGTAAACTCAACAATTGGCGTGCTGAAAGTTCAGAAATCATATTGACGACCCATATGCAGATCTCACCGTGTATTGGGAAGATCTTCCGTATTTATCATGGGAGATCTTCCCATTATTTCCAAATACACGGGTGGGAGGTGCTGTGTGGCGCCGATCTAAACTCGAATGTTCAGCAAAGTTCAGCACCGTTACACGTGCTTTTACTTGGTACCGGCTTGCAGATTTTGTTCTAACAACTATATCTATCTCATCGACGTTCTCCCGAAGTCTTCCCGGACATGGAGGGGGAGGGCCGGGGCGAGATCTCCCGATGTTTGAAAGACTGGGAACAATTCCAACACTTACCTCCTCATTCTTCTTCTTTTCCGAACGAACCCCAGGTTCTCTCAGTCTCAGAAGCCAGAACTGAAGCTCAGGCCTATTCGGCAGGATGGGAAATGGTGGTGCTTCGACAAGCTTCATACGACGACGATTGCATCATCTTCCCTCCAAGCAAACACGAAGGGCTGCATGTCTCCATACTGAATTATCAACACCAAGAAGAAGTAAAATCCGAACCAAATCCTTCCTTATCACGGCTTGATGTTGATATAGGGGATCCACAATCTCAGCGTCAGCCGTTCGATTCTCGGCTGCGAACTGCAGAGTACATTGTGAAACGTTTAAGATTCATGTTTGAGATCTTACAGTCCAAAATTTTCCGCATTATTTTCCTCGTTCGTACTTCTTGTACTGCCAGAAGACGGAGAGCTTGGCCTTTCGCCTCCTCGATTGCAGTTGCAGCAACTCTGTTCTTGTCGCTATTGTACTGGTGGGTGCCCCATCGAAATCGAAGGCTACGGCGGGATAAGTTGGACCATCTGATTCTTCTTATAAAAAATCAGGATGAGGTGTGTGAATTTTTCCCCCAACCTGATCGCTGCTTGGCCTATTCTACTTTGAGTTTCATCGAGAAGAAAAGTTGCTAACTTAATTAGTCTAAGTGTTTGTGAAAATTCCGATAAGAATCGATAAAGAAAATTATACCTTGAATTCTCTAACTAAATAAATTCGTTTTCTTGTATGATTCGGGGAACAGATAAAGCTTGAATTCTACGCGGCTGAGGCTAGTAAAATTCAATGAAACCATGTAAACTGAACAGTTAACAGAGAAGGTTCAGCTAGAGTGGAAAGAGGCACAGACTCTGCCTATTTAGCAGGTTGGCCTTCGTGGTATACCTGCTGTTAAACAGTTTAATCCGCACTTCAACTCGGAAAATTGTTTATTGGGGAAATAAAAAGAGAGAAAATATGTCATTTTTTGTTGTAGGTGATTTTCAGTATTGGTGCAAAGGTGCTGCATGGGTAGGAAAGTGAAAGCTATTGTTTTCTCCCCTGCTTTTTATGTTAAGCAAGCAAATGACAGTGTCAATTGTCAAACGATTGTAAACTGAGATAGACTAACATGAACAGATACATGTCTTTAAACACACTAAACTATCATTTGTTTTCGTTAATGCATTGAGCTGGATGCTGGAAGTTGTCTTTGTAGCTCCTGTTTCCTCCTTAGTAATCTCCTAGTAAGATTACTCTACCAGTGCTAAAATGTGGTTTATTTCTTTGCAGAAGATTAGCCAGCTTTTGTATCAAATTGCCCAAATAAATGAAGCATTATCAGCTCATCATAAGGTTCCTCTGCACAGGATTGGATGATTGATTCTATGGTGTACTCCATCTGAATGGCATTTTAATCATTTACTCTACTAGAGTCTGTTGTTCACTTTCAAAATCAGCTTATTTTTTGACAGTTTAATGTAATTAAATATGCTTTCAATGACGTGTTCGTTCAGTAATACATAGTTATTAGCTACCTACTTAAATGGATACATAGAGTTGCAATGCACCTTAGCTCTGTGTGTTTGCTTCCATGTTTTCCAAATAAATCAGTTATTATTATCTTCTTATTACATACAGAACCAAGAACAACATCTTATACAGAGTACAGACCTTGAAATATTAAGGACGACTCTGTGTCTGGGGTGGGTCAATGGGTGTAACCAGCCCAGATGCCCCAACCATGGTATGCGTTCTGCAGAGCAGACTATCGCTTTATCCACAGGACGGAATGAGACATATAGTCAAGGTAAAATTTAGTTTATCTGGGCAACCAATCCAATCATTGCCCATCATTCTAGACTAAGAAAATCTTCAAGTTGAAAGTTGGATTACCCGATTGAATGTGTATAATGTTAACACACACACACGGATTCGACCGTCAAATTTGTTGGTTATGGATCAATAATGGATGCTAAAAGCAGGAGCTAAATCCTGGAGTATACGGACCCCGAATTTGACCAAGAAACCACTAGCACGGTAGTGTTTTGTAGAAAGGACTTTTGGTGTTAATACATATGACAAAGCATTAGTAGACGCGAATGATGGATTCCACCTAAGAGATTATCTGTGGCATCACCCCGTCACTCCAATGGTGTCATTTGTATATCATTTCAATTTTGTAATTCCTCACCGGCACTAACAATCACATAGGGGTGGCAATTTCTGATACAAACTTGTAAGCACTCTAGTCTACACACACCCATCATCTTATTGTACCCTTATTGTTTATATATTTCCTTAAAAGTACTTTTGAAGTTTAATTCTTTCGATGTACTTTTTAAGTTTTCTGAAATTGATTAATTCTTCCCTTAGGTGTTTTGTTTGCAATCCGTTTTACAAAATAACAGTTCTCAGGCAACCATGACCAGAGCTTACTTGGTTCACAATAGATGATATGATAATTAATTATAAGTTTTCTCTAGGTCAGGATTTCTCCTTGTGTAAGTTAAACAACTTATCAAATATTTCTGTGCCATCTAAATAGAATTAAATAATTGGATTAAGAGGTACTCCGTTTTACATGTCGCTGGAATCCATTGCCAGCAATGAACACAAGGCACCAGCTGGCATATGAGCTATGGGTTGTACTGTGACGGAGATGTTAATGCATAAGTCGGCATGGAAGTGTGGGTCTAACACCGAAATTAGCGCCCTACTGTTTTAGATTGGTGTCAATGAAGAACTGCCGGAGATTTCAGGGGGATTGTCCGCAAAAGGGAAGGATTTCTATAAATGTCTTGTGAGAGATCCAGAAAAGAGAGGACAGTGCAGATGCTATTGGCTCATCCGTATGATCCATTTGCCGAGAATCCATCTGTTGTACCATGTGAGTCCAACAATCCATCTCCATCTCCAAGAATCCCCAAATTCTTGTCACCTGATATTATATCAAAATGGATAAGAAGAGGCGATATTTGGTTCTGCATTTTATACAGGAACTTTCTGTATCCTCCATTTCCAATGAACCAGATTTCTTAAGTTATTTTACTGAGGGAAGAAAATCAGAGCTTCCAAGCAAGATTTCATAACTAGTTTTCAATGAAATTTGTTAGTGAATCCAAAAATGTTCTAAAACAAATGTAAGAAGGCATTGAAGTTAAAGTTCCTTCAAATTAAATCTTACTTCTTCTATGCTTGTACTATTATCAGTGTAAAATTGCAATAACCCCATTATTTGAGCAGGAGCCTCATTTCCCTTGCGTTCTCTGCTACCTCATTTCCATTTTAGTTCACACCTATTTTCTGATCAAGTTATTTGTATTGAGGAATCAAGTTGTTGAAAATTTCAATCTGTTTGGTTTTATTTTGAAATTTTGAAGAATAATAGAGGCAAATTTGATATTCCATTATTTCCATCAAGATTTAACCATGATGTCAATTGTCAAAAAACTTAAGGGGTACTTCAAGGAATTTTGTAAGAGTAGGGTTAGTCCATTTCCTAAAACTTAGGGGTAGTTTAAGAGATCTTCCCTTTTATTATTTTATCTCAAACTCGGCCCGAAAAACTAGGGTTGGATAAGATTGAAGTTTGGGTTACAATTAGGATTGAAGAGTATGAACCCAACTAAACTTAAGGTTAGGTTAGGGTTGATGCTTTTACCTACCCAAGCCCAACTTAACTTCATATTTGAACGTATAAATATTGTATAAATGCATTTATGTATGTAAATATTTATGTACACGTGTGTATTAACTGTTCATGCATGTATGCATATGCAACTATGCATCCTTAAATGTAATATATCTATGTATTTATGTATTTATATATTTATACTATTATAAAGCCTATACTTGGCTCGGCTTTTATGCATATATAATATCAACTTATATCTTTACCATTTTTTGTACACATGCCTTTACATTAATATACTACATATGCGTTTATTTATTTTATGGCATTTTTTTCTAAAACATGTTGATTACATTCTTATATGCATAATAATATTGAATTAACATGAACCCTTTAGAGTTTAAGAAATAAGTACATTTGACAAAAAGTAGTGAAGCCAGGCCAACCTAAGACCAACCCAACCTGAACTTTTAGGGATAGGGTTGGGGGCTCAACAGCTCAGGTTGGGTTAGGGTCGACTTCAACCTAGCCTAGCTCAGCATGACTTGCACCTCTAGCTCCCATCTCCCAAACCCATAAGGTCATAACCCCATGGAGGCAGTGAGGAAGTATTCAATCCCAAGTCTCTACTACGACAAGTCAGGTTGCTCGACATTTTTTTAGAAGGGATTGTCAGCTTTTGTACACTTAGGGGGCGTTCTCTTTTTGGATTTAGAGAGGGGGGAAGTTGGTCAATGAGATTTTGGTTTCCATTAACCAAGAATTCCATGTTCTTTTTTCAGCTTTATGTGGGGACTAGGAAAAGTTTACTTTTCTGAGTATCACTTACCCAAGAAAGTGATACCCATCTCCTAGGTGAGTAAATAACTTTACCACATAAGGGGAAAGTTGTCAACACTTGAATGGGACAAAAATGTTCATTTTAATAATAGATTTCTATGGCTAAAATGGTCATTACCTTATTTACCTGAGAAATAAAAGAGCATGGGTAAGTAACTTATCGAAAAGCGAATGGGGCCTTATTACTAATATTCATGTTTTAGAAAAGATATGTCTTTTAGTCAGTTTAGGTGCAATCAAGATATTATAAAATTTTAATCTTTACCATTTTAAGCTATAGTGCAAAAAAATTAAAGAGATATTATCTAAAACTCACCATAAACTTTGCACATTTCTCTTAACCATGACTTTCAAAACCTTCACACGGTCCCTGTCATTGAGTACCTTCTATTAGATTTTCATTAAATCACTACCTAATTTTCATTTGGACCTAGTGTGGATCCAGGCCCACATTAAGGGTAATTTTGTAAAAAAAATATTTAATAAGGATGACTAACCATTCAAGTATAGTTTGGTCATATAAAATATTTTTTTGATTCCGTAATATAAAATATTTAAAATTCATTTTAGATAATATCCCAAAATGAATTTTAAATAATATCCCAAATTAGAACGGGAAAAGAGAATTTTACTTCATATGTAATTCGAATGGAACTTTAATATTTACTTTGACTTCTTTGGCAAGGGTATGTTTAATTTTCCAAGTATGCTGTGTGCAAGGTCAACCACCACCTAGACCATAGAGCTAGCATTCGTCATTTACTGAATCAATTTCGTCAGGGTGTTGAATTTGGCATGATGTTATTTTTTTTGGATTTTGAGAGAGAAAAATTGGTCATTGAGATTTTGATTCTCATTTTTATGTTCTTTTTTAAGATTTATGTGGAGAACAGAAAAATTTATTTTACTTGGTATCACTTACCTCCTAAAGTGGGTAAATAACTTTTTCTCATCTGACGGAAAAATTGCGAACACTTGAATGAGACAAAAATACCATTTTTAATAATAGATTTTTATGGTTAAAATTATACCTTATTTACATGAGAAATAAAAGAACATGAATAAATACACTTATCGGAATAAATATTTTCCAGAAAAAACTTACCCAAATAACTATATTTACCTGGATAAATAACTTACAAAAAAAACGAACAAAGCCTAAATGTCAGAGTATTACTGCAGAAAAGCTTTATCAAGACATCAAGATCATTCGCCTCCAGAGTCCAGACTCCGGAGTAGGCAGTCCAATTGGAGTTTCCATCAAATTATTGGGCACCTTCCCTTCAGCCCTTGAATGCGAAAACAAAGTCGTCGAACTATTCTGAGGGATGGAGTAAAACAATGACAAGGCAACCGTTTGATTGAGATATACAACATCAGGTGAATATTGCTCTTTACTGGACGATAACGTGCTAGTGTTTGATTGGACATCTCAGACGGTGGTCACTGGGGAGCCTGGGGGAACCAAAGTTCTATCAAGTTGATATGTCATATTCAATAGTTTCGTTCATTGGCGATTCCCATGCTCTTCGGTTTTCCGATCATATGGGTACTGGCGACTGGCGTATCGCCACCAAACGTAGAGCTCAGAGAACTCCAAGGTTCAAGCCTCAGAAGGGAGAACAAAGTATTCGTGATCATAGCATATCTGTCAGATCACTAGTCCTTTTAACTCTACAACTGTTTCTGCAGATTATCTGATAATCTGGATGAACAATGCATGAGATCTTGATCTAGTATCTGATTATCTGCAAAAAAATGAAGATTTACCATTTGAAAAAAAAATAAATAAAGAAAAAATTCCTGATTTGTTCTTACAAACAGTTGGAAAAATAATTCATTTGCTTTTGTTCAATCCAACTAATTAAATTCGTCAGAAAGAGCAACACCTTATCATGGCGCCTCTCCTTTTGTCAAGGCAGTGCCTTGTTCAATTCTTCCATCGCGGGCCTCACCAAAAAGCTTCATTTCTTCTAACTTTATCCACAAAATGTTCCGACTTGAGTTGAGGTTGCCTTCAGAATCTTGGCATAAGTTGGCAACAGTCACCAGTGAGGCATTATGCTACAATCAGATGGTAATTTTGATAATGTTGGGTCTGATGGCAAGATCCAGCAGAAATGGTGAAATTGGTTTTCCTACTCTTCACCCAATAGTTTTTTTTTTCCTTTTTCATTTTTTTTTATAATAATTCATAGCAAAATGGAATTAGAATGCCTAAACTTAAATTTTCAATAGCCAAATTATTTTGTTGAAACATCATCCAGGGAATAGGTTCTACTACAGATGAGTAGTTGTGCATTAGAAAAACCAAATACAGGCATTGGGTCTTCCATTTTAAGAACTCATGAAGCTTGATCTCCAATAATCAACAAGTTACTTCTGATTCTTGCCATATATAATCAAGACCTTAATTAGCTCCAGTTCATGTCAGGCATTAAAGAGATATTGTTCCTACTATACTACAGCATTATATTAATGACATTTGCTCACTCTTCATATTCTGAGACAAGATATGGACTGTGGAAGAGATGATGTTCAACTTTATTTGCAAGCAAGCCCATGCTCCTGCCCCTCCAGCTCTTTTCTAAATTATTATTATTATTATTTCAGATGTAGTATTTATTTGAGAAGAATGGAGTAGCATTCATTATTCAAGATATTGATATACATAACATTACCCATCCTGATATGTGATTGTAATGAAGAAAAGTAAGAAACTAATGATCCTTGACATGGATGAGGTATGTAAAAGCAAGAGTTTGTTCTCTTCTATATGAATATACAGTATGTCCCTTTGCACTGGAAAGAAGAATGCAAAACTGTATTTACCAAAAAAAAAAACAGAATGCAAGACCGAGGTCATCAATGTTGAAACCGTTCAAAAAGTAAAGACAAACAGAGGGATGAATCAGGGACATGTTTGTAGCATGAAGCTGAAAATATACCATTCCTATTTATTATGCTTTTTGTTCACTGCAAAATGTTGAATGCTTTCTAGTTACTCTAGTGTCATATATTCTGGTTCTAAAAAGTTAGTTCCACTGAACTGGAGTGAGAAATAAATCTGCTGGAGGGAGGGAAATTCAACATACAGGAATAAATAATAACCAACATCCAGGGGGAGGGGAAGAGAAACAACCAATGTATCAGCATATACCCAGAACCAGTTTGGGTAAGAACCAGAATTGCGTTTCTTCTTGGATGATCCAAACACAATGGGCAGAAAAATAAAAGAATCTACTTTTGTTTTTCTCAAAAGCAGTATCACAACAAACAAAAACTCACTAATTGTGAAACGTTTTCAAGTTGAAACCAGCATTTAACTAAGAAATACATTACATTTAGATTATGAAACATAGAGGAATTAATGCCACTTACTGACTCTTTGAATCAGTTCCTCCACGAACTGGGCGCCGGATATCGAACTGGTCTACAAATTCCAAAGGAGTAGCCGTTTCGTTCCTGATTCTTTTGATCTTGGGACTCAACAGGCCCCTGTGCCTAAACCCATATAGCTTAAGAACCTGGTTATCTGCAAAATTAAACGCTCTCTCCATGCTTTTCAGGCACCTCTCGACAGGATAATCCCCATAGCTCCCGCAAGGCTTGCAACCCACAAAATGGGTCACAAATGGCCATCTCTCATCCCCCAATCCAGGATGGTACTTCTCTATCATCTCCTCATACCGGTCCACCAGACCAGCCCAGTATCCATGTAGGTAGTAAGAATTCTCAATGAACACCTTATTCATCCACTCTTCCTTCTTTGACATCAACAAGTAGATCAATGCCGATTGGTCATCAGCCTCAAACGCCGGCCGCCCCTTCAAATTAGCAGTCAAGATCTTTCCGGCTTCGTCTCTAATTGGACCCTTCGGACCCATGGGAGCCCAAGCATCAAGCAAATCCAAAGACCACTGGCAATTCCTAAACAAGAAGCTCCCAGTGTTCAAAGCGATCCAGGATTTTTGCTCAAACAGCAAATCTGGGTACCCGTGAATAACCAAGTTGTAACCATTATACTTGGAAAGCGGGATTTCAAACACCATATCAGTGAACAGTGCATCGCTATCCATCCACCAGATCCATTCCACCTCCGGATGCGACAGCATAAGCCGCCTGATCAACGGCAGCTTCGCCCAGTACCCAGCGAGCTCCTTGTCAAGATGTGCCAAATTGTAAACGATCTCGATACCGTGAATTCGACAGTAATCTATCTTGTTCTTGATAGCCTTGAGAAGGTAGTGATCCCCAATTGGATTGTCGCACGGGTTCGGAGGAGACCCTGTAACGAGCAGGATTCGAGCTTTTCCACTTATGTAGTTGGGAAATTCAGGGTTGTTGTTGAGCCAGGCCTTCCGCTCCTCGTTCCAATTTGAGATCTTGGGGCCAAGGGTGTAGGTGATGTTAGGATTTATCTCGGTCTCGGCAGGATCGTCTGGATCGGAAGGGTCACCATCAGAACGGATCTCAGCGAGGATGCGGTTGGTTTCTTCAATGAGGTTCTGGTTTTCGGCTTCGGCGTCAGAGCCGCCGAGGTTGCCGACGCCGATGGTGCCGCGGAGGACGAGGATGGTGACGAGGCCACAGAGGACTGTGATCTTGAGGTTGTTGAAGGTCTTCTGGATCTGACGGCCGCGAGGGATGCCGGATGGAGGACGACCTCCGGAGAGTCTGTTTGTAGTGGGAAGAGCACCGCCACCTGCTCCGCTTCTCTTGAAAGCCATAAAACCATCTTGACCCATTTTCCTATCTTGCTTCTTGTACGTGTCTACAAAGAATGAGTATAAAAGAAACCCTATGCGACACAGTGATGGTTCTTCATACTGTTGTTCTCGATGAAGGACAGACAAGTAGAGATTGTGGAGTTGTGCCGAGAGAACGATGGGAGGAGAAAAGAAACTCGCTCCACATCACATTGACTGCGCATTCTTCCCATATAATTTATTTAATTTGATGATTTATAAATTTTCATAAATCTGATGTTATTGTAATGTGTCACACTGCCAGTTGCCACTGTCTTAATTATAAAGTTTAAAATTGTATTTTGATTAATAATTTCTTCCAATCCGCGGTTTCTGGATTCTTGCTCGCTTGCTGATCCAAGCATTTTCCCCTCTTTCTTCTTCTCGTAAGAAACATTAACGCGTAAGATTAGAGATCCGTGATTTAAATTACCCCTGGGTTTTGCGTAATTGACTTACGGTGCCCTTATTGATTGCAAAATTACTTAAATTAAAATAACCCAAGTTTTTCAACAAATAGGACAAAATCCTCGCATTCTTTAATTGCAGGGAAAATTCCCGCTTTCGGATTAGTGGTGGTTCTCAAATTTTAAAATGCTTCAGTACTCTAACTTTTAAAATTTTCTGTTAAGTGATATTTAAAAAAATACAAACGCATTTGTATATTTTCAAATGTTTGGTTAATGTCATGTATTGAATTAGCATATTTTGAAAGTTTAGATATTGCATTGTCCTGTTTTAAAGTTCAGGGACTAATGTGTTATTAGATCCAAAATACAAGGTATTAATCATGACTAATCAGGAATTTTCTTAATTATAAGTTACTGTCATATGTAACACTAGTAGGGGGACCCTTGCAACGAAGGGACTTTATTTAGTGAAAGTTAAATAATAAAAATACATACGAGTAGAGAATTGTTTTATATTTTATTTTTTAAATAATTAATAATTATTTAAGTTTTATATATTATTTTTAATATTTCTGTATATAATAATAATAATTAATTTTAGCTAGGGTTATTCATCAAATCAATGAAACCGATCAAATCAATCAACTTGATCCAATTCGACACAAGTTGATAGGTTTTCTATTATGGTTGGCTTTGGTTTAGCAACTTCCAACCTAACTTTGGTTTGGCCATTTGTAAACCGACAAAAATCAAATTGACCCAATATATATATATATATATATATATATATATATATATATATATTAATATAGGAAAGTGGGAAATTTCTCATATTTCTTACTCTAAAATATTTTATAGTGTAAATTTAATTTTTTAAAAATGTCACTATAAATTTTCAAATTTAAACTTTTAAGTTTAATCTTTTGAATTGACTGATCAAACCAAAAACTGACACAAATCCATAAATCTTGAGTTAGTCAGTTTCCACTAATGGTTAGTTGTTTTTGGCTAACCAACTCCTAACCCAACCAAGTCAATTTAGTTAGCCAAACAACCTACACCTCAACCAAATTGACTCATGAACACTCTTAATTTCAAATAAATTAAATAACAGTTGTTTAAAAATTTATAGCAAAAGTACACAATTATCAAAAATAAATTTATAATGAAAATAGAAAAGATAACTAAAAAATAATTATAAAAATACAATAAATACTGAAAATATATTAAATTAGTCAATAAATTGTGTAATCTCTAATAAATATTAATCAATAAATTATAACAAAAATACATAAGTACTAAAAATAAATTTATAACAAAAATACAATAAATCAAATAAGTATAATAAATTAAATTTAAAAGTTAAATTACAATAATTTAATCTCCAATAATTATTGAAAAATTTATGGTAAATAACAAAATAAAAATAGATTTATACATAATTATTGAAAATATATTTAACATAAAAAATAAAAGAACTAATTAATAAAAATACATTAAATATTAATTTTAGTATAAATTCAAATAAAGATTTTAAAATTATAATTAATAAATATTATTTTTCTTAAAGTTATTTTCTAGAAGTATTAATTGATATAAGTGAATTTATTATTATTATTATTATGTTAATAATTGCAATTATTATTCTATTTTTTAATATCTATTAAATATATTTTTTTGAAAGTTATTACATATTTTTGTTATTTGGGAGCTTCAATACCTCTAAATTATTTAATCTATTTTTTATTATTTCAATAATACTTACAATTGCTTATATTATTTATATTTTATATTCTTGTTATCAAACTGTATTAAACCTATTATAATTATTTTTGTGCTTTTGATAAATTTTTTAAAGTTATTACATATTTTTGTTATTTAATCTGTTTTTTGTTTTTAAAATATTATTTAGTTATTAATTATTTTAAAATTAGTTATTTACAATATTATTTAGTTATTTAAATAATATCATTATTTAATTTTTTAAAATATTAATTATTTATTGAATTTAATAATCTATAAAATTATTATTTATACTTTTATTACATAATTTTGTTATTATTTTTGTAAATATAAAATTATTATTAATTTGAATATTATGAAATCTATTACATAATTTCATTATTTTAACTATTTAAAATTTAGATGTGTTAAATATTTCATTATTTAAAATATTTGGTTATTTAAATATTTAAATATTTAAATATTTAAATATTTAAATATTATAAAAAATATATTATAGACACACACACACACACATATATATATATTAGGAATATATTTAAAAGGGTATATCTAAAGGGGATAAACATAAAGGAAAGAGGGCTTTGTTTTTAGGTGGAGGGGGTAAAAGGAGTCTCATTATAGAAAAACAACACAACAACAACAACAGAATAGAGGAAAAAAGATAACCACAAAGACAAAACTGTTTTGGTTATGGTTGAGTTGGCCCTACATGCCACGTGGTGGCCTCCATTGCCGTCTTATCTCCTCAGTCATGTCGACACCGCGTAGGACGGATTAGCATGACCAAGAAGAGGAGCCCCACATGGATAAGGAGGACAACTCCGCCAGGGATTAGGACTTATCCCGAAAGCCTCATCTGAATTGGACAGATCTTCGGCTATAAATAGGTAACCTTCCCTTAAGGTAAGGGACATTTGGCTCTTCAGTCTCCATACTATTACTTTGTTTTTGCTAAGATCGACAACTGCTTGGCCCGACCACCCATCTCTTCCATTATTGACTTGAGAGTTGAAGTGCCTACCCAGGGAACAACTCCTCGGGCCTTTGATCCTCTTACTTGATTTCATATATTGATCTTGGTGCGCGGCTTCGTCCTTTCACCTCAGCCTCACCAGTTGGCAGGACTATTTGACTATAATATTGATTCGAAACACCTTGAATCAAACAACATAAAAAAAAAAAAAAAACTCATACACCTACAGACTCACTAAAGCTACCCAGGGAAGCATTAACCATAGAATAGTCGTTTAACAAAAAGCTAGCCAACCACCTTGGAAGAGTATCACTCCAACCAAGGTTTTTAAAACCGACCCGGACAACGAACTAGTTAGGGGTCCGGTTCCTAGGTCAAACGGTCTGACCATTTGAATCAAACGATCAGCCTGTTCTAACAAAAAATATAAAAAATAAAAAATAAATAAAAAACGATCAAAAACATTGAACGGTTCGAATGGTTCAAACGGTTCAATTACCTGGGTCAACGGCTTGCTGACCAAATTAATGTTTTTTGGCAAAAATCTGGTTTTGGGGAAAAACGAAACCGATCACCTGACCGATTCCCAATTTTTCCAATTCGACCGCCAGGTCCGGTCCGGTTTTGAAAACCATGACTCCAACTAAAACCTGAATTCAAACCCATGTTGGCTACTGAGAGAGCAACTTAGCATAATCAACAAAACAACCATTTGAATCAACTTAAAGAAAACCTGGATTAGGTCGTATTCAGAAAGATTTTTTTTTCCACTTTTTTCCTTGCTACGCTTGGTTGGAGTACGAATACAAATTTGTAGAGTGCAAAACAAAAATGTTTGGTCCATTTTACACACCCACTTTGCACTCAGCTCATTTGTTTTGAAAGATGCAAATAAGAATACAATTTTTGTGAATGTTTGGCATTTCCATCAATACAAATACAACTGTTTCTTACTACCAAATGGTATTCCAGCTACTCCCACCATTAAACAAATATAAAAAATAACAAGCTACCCGGGCATACAACGAGCATCTTGATAAAAAATAACAACATAAAAACAACCAGCTACTCCCACCATCAATGCAAATACAACGGTCTCTTCTACCAAGTAAGCCAATTCCTCGTCCCTGATTCTTTCAGCCACCCAATTACTAATTTTGTGTCACCCTCAATTTGAAGTGTACAGGGATATTCATGATGATATAATGGCCATCTTTTCAGGAACTTGACCAAGGATCAACAAGAACTGAATTGGTTTTTTTTTTTTTTTCCGATCAATAACAGAATTTCATTAGAAATATTAAGAATTAAAAGATAGGGAGAGGCAACTATCTTAACTATCCGCAAACAACAACACTGTTACAGCTGAGCGGCCTGAGCCCAAAACAGAATTTCCTGCTAGGATTGAGGTTGAGAGAAACTTGTTTGGAAGGGGGGATTCAAACCCCATTACAAGGGCAATACTAACAATGTCATTCGTCACACATCTCCGTAGCGTGACACTCAATGTATTATAGACTTCTAAGAAATGCATATAGAAACTACACTATATTTCCTCCAACAAAGTAGATGACTAAAACTGAAAGTTATTGACCAATTGGCATGTTTGAAAATATATCATACAGCTTTTACATGGTTCAAGTAAGACTACCCACCAAAAAATAACGGACTTGACTCTAAATATGAAGATAACAAATGCTCCATACATGATAAATATCAGTCAAACTGATGTACCATAATATACAAATTGATAATAATCACACTGAATATATATATATATATATATATATATATATATATATTGAAAGAGACCTAGAAAGTGCCTCACCTGAAGAACAATGGGCAACTGCTCTGGTGGTTTTTTGTGTTCAGACCCATGGTCAAGCCATTTCCAATTAGAAGAACAATCAAGTTCTTCTAATTGGAAATGGAAAATGAAAAGCACAACATATAACTATAAACTATTGTTCTACAAAGTATGCAATTCTAATAATAAAAAATTTAAACCACAGAGACACCTGGAACTCTGCATTGGGTTCATCAACCAACATATGAAGCTGAGAAAGGCAAATTTCAGCAGCCATGTCCCATGCATCTCTGTACCAAACATGACAAAATTAGATGGAAAATTTTTAATAGAAATAGTATCATTAAGATGCATATGGAGATAAATACCACATGTGATGCTGATGAGTTGGAGGCAACATCGGATATGAAATTGGTGAACAATTTGCAGATCACATTATACGCTCAGCAAGTAAAAAATTTCGGAACAGACTTGCAACCAGCAGGTCTTGCCTGAACAACCTCTGGAAAAGTTCTGCACGAAGCCAAGTTCAGTGTTGACTAGGATAAACCACGGAGAAGGAAGAAAAAAAGGAAAATCAGATTTAAAGAAAGCATAAATACAAAGCAAACTTTTTCAACAGTTCATCACCATGAGGAAGGACATTCCAAGCAATTGTGTCAGCCACTGCAGTAAAAATCCAGTTGAGCTCCCCTAGAAGTGTTTTTCGATCATTTTGGCGGCCAGGAATTGTGTCAATGAGCTCGCAGTTGCTCACAGTTTCTATGAAGTTTCTCCGCTATATACTCAGTTTCTACGCGGTTGCTCGCAGTTGAGAGTCGCTCGCCGTTCTCCTCTATCTATCTTTTTTTTTCGAGGGTTTTGGAAAACTCAAAACCTATTTACTTCGACCGACCGACGATAGGAGCAATTTTGTCTTTCCTTTTTAGAGAACAATATTTTCTCGTATTTTCTGTACAAACCTAAAAAAAATGTACAAATTTGCATCGAAAGTCGATATATTTTTAAAACTTAATCAAATGAATGCAAATCTGAACCGAAATGTAAATTTGCACTCCAACTAAACGCAGCCCAAAAACAAACAGTTTCCCAATTTCACGTAAGATGTCTCCACCATTGTTTTCAAAACTGAATTAGAAAACTGGGAATCAGTGAGGTGATTAGTTCTGTTTTACCTCAGAATCGTTATTTTTTCCAAAATTATTGATTTGGTCAATAAACCATTGATCTGAACAGTCGAATCATTCACACCGTTGAATGGTTTGGTTGGTTTTATTTTTAAATTTTTTTTTATTTTTTTATCAGAATAAGTTATCTATTTGATTTAAACGATCGGACCATTCAACCTAAAACCGAACCCTGACCGATTCTTTGTCCAGATCTCCACTGTTAACTTGTGTACGAAGGAAACCATAGCATAAGGATTAGTTTCAAATACGAGTGAGTGCACTTCTGTCCTTCCATATTTCCCATAAAAAAAATATCAATTTAGGCTAGTAAATTCAGGTTCCATTTGCCAAGGTCTTAATGATTTGACGGAGCCAGTTCCCAATGTCTAACATTATAGAATTATCTAAAGGTTTAATCCCATAGCCAACCCCAAACCAGATCTAGCCTTGGAACAAAGGAGGAGATACTGATTCCTCTTTTAAATTACATCTCGAGCATATAGCTGAGTCATTTATATTTCTTTTAAACATTTAAAAAAAAATCTGGAATGCCAATCGTGACGGAATAAGATAAAGTTTTGGATTTTTGGTTCAACAAGTATTTTCCACAAAGTACTACAATGATATTTCTCCCCAATAGGACTAGCCCTTCTATTCTCATCAATATTCGCATTCTGAATTGCCGTACAGTAAGCATATCTTACTGTAAACTTCCCATTTGGATTGTGGACCCAGTCCAACTCATCCTCCCGTAGATTTCTAGCCAAATTAATATCCAGATAGAGAGGGAGAGATTTCTTGCCCTTATATATATATATATAGTGAAAATTCTAATTTCAATCATACAAAATAAAAAGGTCCGTTTTCGACCCTATAATTTAATAAAAAGGTCATTTGTAGGCAAAAACAGGTGGCATTTGAAAATGGCACTGACAACTCCATTAGACAACATGGCAATGCCATGTTGGCATTGGCATTTGAAAAATGCCACTTTAATAAAGTTAATTATTAAGTAAATTACTTCAAGGTCTAATTAAATGACACTAAAATATTTAGTTTACTTAGCTAAGCAAATTAAAAAATACTAATCAAGGTAATCGAGTAAATTAAGCAAATAAATTAATTAAGGAAACAAAGTTAATTAATTAAATTTAACAAACAAAACTTAATCCATCTAAATAAGCCAGTTAACGAAGGTTTTAAAAACCAACCCAAAGCTAAACCACTTTAATCACCAATTTATAAGTGAGCAATTCGGCTGTGTTGGTCCAAATGGATCAACCCATGATGTTTTGGAAAATAATAAAAAAAAAAAGACTCAAAAACCATTTATTGGATCGAACAATTTAGTGGTTCAACTGTTTGGGTCAGCAATTTATTGACCAAGTTAAAAATTTTGGGCAAAATAAATTGTTTGACCCATGAATTAGTGAATCGTCTAATTCCATTTTATACCTAAGTAGTCAAACCATTTGACCCATGAATCTGCTAATTGCCCAATTCCATTTTATACTTAACCTGAACTTTTTTTTTCAAAAAGGAAAAACATTGACTTAGTCAACAAACCAATGTTCCATACGGTTAAATTGTTAGATTGATCAATCCAGTAAATGGTTTTTTAGTAAGTTTTTATTTTTATTATATTTTATATCTTATTTTTTAAAATTTCATGGAATGATCCATTTATAATGAACGATTGAACTGTTGACCTATAAACTAGTGCCAAAAGTGGTTCTGTTTTGGGTTTGTTTTTAAATTAACTTGCTTAATTGGCATATTTCTGTTTCTTGATTAATTTAATTCACCGGTTTAATTGCTTAACTATCTTAATTAGTGTAATTTATTTAATTTAATTAATTAAATAAAATGTACTTTATGGGTATCAATTATTTAAATCAATTAAGTCTTAATTATACTTTAGGTCCATGAAGTAATTTACTTAATTAACTTTATTAAAATGGCCCATATTCAAACATTACCGTTGAAAATGGCCTTTTTCAAACTTTAGCAACGCCATGTAACGTTGTCTAATAGAAATGTCAACATCAGTTTAAATGCCATATGTTTTTGCTTAAGAAGGGCCTTTTTATCAATGTACGGGGTCGAGAATGGCCTTTTTTATTCTTTAGGGTTGATTGGTTAGGGGGCGTATGGGTCAGGTTTTGCATGTCCTTCACCTCAAACTCAAATATCCTACCCCGTACCTAATTTTGAGCTTTTGGCGTTAAGATCACTTGGCTTTCAAACAATGTATTTGGATGAAAAAAAAAAATCTTAGCATGCATTTAAAGAGGATACTCAATAGATGCATCCTTTAGGCCGTGTTTGGTTGCAATACAATTTTAATTGCACTAGTACAAATGCATGGAGTGTAAATAAAAAAATACAAATTTTCATTTATTTTATTTTGGGTTTTACTTTATTCTGTTTAATATCTTAATTAACTTCATTTGTACTACAATCAAACAAGATAAGTTAAAATTTGAAAAAAAAATAATTAGAATCTACATTCAAATAATTTGTATTGTCATAGTTTTGCATCAATGCAAATTTATTTGCATTGCAACTAAACCAGTCTTACAAGTAAATAGATGAAGTTATGCACAATTTCTAACTTATGTGTTTCTGTCTTATCTTTTATCAAACCAAATATAGTCTTAAGGTTCATATGGTTTGCGGTATGAATTGGAATTAAAATCTTCTCAATGGACCCTTTCTATTTGATTAGATATGAATTGAAATCAAATTCAATAAGATATATAAAGCTTCCAAAAAGGGTTAGCATCCTATAAAAAGAAATAGGGTTTAGTTTTTTTTATGAAGCAAAAAAAACAATTCAATTATTTAAAAAAAAAAAATCAAAGAACCAAAAGGTCCAGAACCGATAAAATAAATTCGATATGTTCGATTTGATCGGGTAGAACCGACCCACAGCCCTAGTCAATGTCTGGTTAAGAAGTACTCGTGGTTTTGGTATTTACCTGTACAGGAAGCGCTATGGCTTTGCTAACAAAAGCAAAAGGGTAAAATATAAAAGTCTCTCTTGAAGTTTCTTAATTTTTAAGAATTCAACAAAATCTCCCTTCCGTCATTGGATTCAGACGAAAAACCAATAAAATTACGAAATTGCCCATCGCTAATCGTCAAGCGTCATTAATTGCTTCTCCCTCTCCCGCTCTCAACTTGTTTTTTTCTCATTTCATTTTTTCTTGGCTTYGCTTTGTTGTAGAAGGAAAACAAGAATGAAGGCAAGAATAAGGTTGACGGAGGGAAAAGGATGRTGGTTCGATTACCGTGGTCTTGAAGGTTGATATGCACTGTGAAGGTTGCGCCAAGAAGGTYAAACGATTTGTTAAGGGTTTCGAAGGTACATCAAAAACATTAGAATTAATCTTTCTGTTTCTCTTGTCATTGGTGTTAAAATTAGCACCTGTAGCATCTTTTCACAGTTCTATTTCAAATTCCTTATGTTTTTCTGAGTATAAACACACATAAGCCAACGAGAAAGAAGCAGAATCCGTTTCCTGGTTTTTTCAAAAGTTTTTCTTTATTCTTCTGAGATTTTATAGAATTGGTTTAAGATCCATTTCCCATCTCTACTGATCTACTTACAAAATATTTTGAAGTTTTGGTTTTTCAAACGGGAGTTATTTTGTTTTGATTTCTCCTCTTCTTATAAAAATGTCTCAGTATTTAGATTTCACTATTGCTTTGACTTCTTGGTGCATATTAGACTCAACCCGGGTTTCCTACTTCACTTAACCTAGTTTACATCTCTTCATTTTGTTGTTGCGTTCTGTGGTGGATAAAGGTATCAAAAACGTCAAAGGAGAGTGGCAACAATAAGCTAACTGTGATAGGAAAAATAGACCCACTGAAAATTCAAGAGCGAGTAGAGTAGAAGATTAAGAAGAAGGTGGAGCTCATCTCCCCCATACCCAAGAAGGAAGACAAGAAACCAAAATAAAGGCAATTAATTGGTGTCGCAAAAGGATCCTATTGGACAAGTAGGGGTGGTTCTGGTATTTTGAAATATTTTAATGACGCTCTGACGGTTTAATTAAGGGTAATTTTGTAATTTTAATAGTTTTTGGTCTGAGTCAATGATAGAAGGGGGATTTTTGTCGAGTTTCTTAAAAGTTCAGTAAGGTTTTTGTTAAAAGTGAAACTAAGGGGAGGCTTTTATGATTAACAGAAAATTCAGGGGAGGCTTTTGTGTTTTATCCAAAGCAAAAAAGCAAACAAAAACAAAAGGAAAAAAGTTCACTTGAGGGCTAAGGAAGTTTGGAAGTGCGTTTAATATCTGCTCCAACCCGGCAGCACCTTCTACTTGGCCGATAACCAGGTAAGGTTTCTTCTCACTTTTTTTTTTTTTTTTCCTCTCATTTTTTCAGCCCAGAACGATCAATCCTCTTTGTTTGTTTGTTTGTTTTTGTTCTTTTTTTTCCTATGCTCTATTTCGATCGGTCAACCATAATTGTTTTTGTTCCGCGAATCAACCTGGCTAACCGAGCTTCTCTTCTTCTCTGTCTTCTCCAACCAGCGGTGGCAACTTCTCCTTGTCCGGTAACCAGGTAAGGTTTCTTTTCATTTCGTTTTTTTTTTTTATTTTCCCCTGTCGTTTTTTTTCAGTTCAGAACGATCAATCCTCTTTGGTTTTTGTTTTGTTTGTAATGCTCTGTTTCGATCGACCATGATATATGTTTTTTTTTTTTACTTTGTTTCAGGTTGGGGTTTCACAAGTTTGAAGTTGGATCTGTGTCCAGGTTGGTTATACGTTGGTTTTTGTTTTTTCGTTTTGCCCTAAATCCTTTATTTGATTTGAATCTCGAATCTCTGTTTTGTTTTGCCCGAATCTCTAGCAACGTAAATGATTGGAAAACACTATCTTCTCATTCTCAACATGCTATGGATTAGAAACCTCTTTGTGTCATTGTCTCAAGGAACGCATTCTTTATCAGTTATTTCTTAGAAGAATCAATAAGGTCTCAAAACAAGTTTAATATACAAGCACTCAAATTGACTTGCCATTAAATTTGGATTGTTATCTGAATAGAGGAAGAGTTTAATATATACTTCAAACTTGGTGTGTATAGGAGACTTATACGTAAGATTTTGCAGCATCTATTTGTTGATCTACTGTGGCACAAAAATCAGAGAAGGGAGGGTAAGAGGGTTGTGCAAGAGAAGAAAGAAGACATAGAGAAAGGGGAAAGGCTACCTAGGTTAGCATTTGGGAGTAAATGTGCTTGATTTACTATTTAAAAGACTCTTAAATCATTGTACACATGGCACTCTAAAAATGAGGGTTAAAGTTGTCTTTTTGAAAAAATAGGTGCTTATTGGAGAAAAGACCACCAAACGCCCAATATGAAATAAGTGCTTATTCTTTAGAATAAGCATTTGAAAAAGCTGGCCAGCTGGGTACCAAATGCAAATGAGTGCTTATTCTAAGCACTTATTTCCTTCAGGTTCTTCTGAATAAACACTCCCAAGTCTAGAAGTATTCCCAACTCACGCCCACTCTTTCCTTCAGGTTCCTTCTGAATCAGAGACTTAGGCTGTGTTCCAGGGTTCCAGCCTTTTGAAGTCTGACTACGCAAGGTATGTTGTTCAATCTATATTTCACCCAAACAATCTCTTTAATATATCATGTATCTCTCTAGGGTTTCTAATTTCAGATTTATTGCTCTGGAGGTGTTTTTCGATATTCCCCCCTTTTTGTTCATTATTTTTTTGACTGAAAAACTATTTGTTTGGCTGCTTTTTATCTTTCTTGAAAAATAAGTAGGGTTCGTCTTCTTTGTTATTTTTTTTAGTTTTACCATGTTAGTGTTTTCAGAATCAGATTCGTTGTTTATAATTGTGAGAAAACTAGGTCCCATTAGTTGAACAATACCCCGAACGTATTACTTAATAACGTTTCTTTTAAATTACTGGGAGCTTGATCTTTTGAGAGAGAAATGCGTGCTTTAACGTCAAAACATAAATATGAGAAAACTTGTTTACGTGCTATGGAATTGAAATTGTTTTGTTACAGATGAAAAAAAAAAGTAAATGTTGTAGCATTGTAGTTTGAAACCAGAAGCTGGTGGATTTAGGGGCATCAAAGGTTACTTATAATGAGAAGCTGCTGGGTATTTGGTTGAATTTTTGGGTTTGTGCTTGATGAGATTCATCTAGGAATCCTAGAGAGCGGATTTCCAAATTGTATATGTATGTTACATATGGTTTTGTCAATGACTCAATATCCACCAAGAATCTAAAACTTTCTGGGACGTGTATGCTGATCTGCATGAGTACTCGTCTCATGAAACTTTTTAATTTTAATGTCGAAGTCATAACTTGTCTAGCGATCTGCCATGAAGGTTGGGAAGGATATACTACTTGTATCTAACTACCTAAAGCAACATCATAATTCTCTACTTGGACCTAGGTACTTGTGTGAGGCTAGAAGTTATCAGAGGTTGATTACAACTCAAGACACTTGGAGCATGATGCCACAGGGAGAAAGGCCATGCATTTTGTTGCAAAAGTCAAGGGTTAATTTATACCGGTCATGGTTGGTATAATTACCGGGTATTCGCACTTTTCCTCTCAGAAAAGAGTAAACATTTTCACCCTTAATTTCACATTTCGTACTTTGTTTCTCAAGGCTCAAAGCGCTGTCTTAATTCTCACCTGGAGTTAGTGCTTCGGAAATTTTGCTACTTTGGTACCCAGATGACATGGTTTTAGAATTTCAAGGCTTGGATTAGCTAGCAATATGATTTGCAAATGACAGGAGGGAATTGAGATGGAGGACGTTGATATTTGTAAACTGGAGTTAGTGCATTAATTCAAACTATTGCTAATTCAATATGTAAAATTAAATATCTAGTTAGAAGATCTAAAAGGTAAGGTTCTTTTTTCATCATTTTCTCATGTTTCCTTGTCTTCCTGGGTTGGGGAAGAAATGAGTAGTGGATGAAGACCAGTTGCAATTCTATGGTATTGGCAGCTTAAATGGGAAATGATTCTGGGAAATCAAAGTTGGATTCAAGATTAGGAGTAATACAAAGGTGCCCATAGACTTATTTTTGACAGAAAACATGGCTCTTGATAGAGCATGATGGCAGGGAGGGATTCATGTAGATGTTCCCAAATAGTTGGGATTAAGGCTGAGCTGAGCTGAGTTAATATAAAGGTGCCTATAGAACTAGTTACTATACTATTTTTCCTGTGATATTTATGTTTAACATTAATGTCAATAATGCAGTATTGCAAGTTTCATGGACTGTGGTTAGTTACAACATTGGTCAATGAGCTTGTAGGATAATGGGATTTATTTATTTATTTTGATCAGTAAACATGTATTTTATTTATAGTTAAGATTGAAACAAGTTTGTACAACTTGGTGGTGGGAATGTTATTCCCAATTTCGCACACTTTTCTGTCCCAAATTACAACGAAACCCAAAATAATTGCTGCCTCAGTGCCCGTTGTTTGGCAAGGGAATCAGCTAGCCCATTTGCACTCCTTTTGACCCATTTGAAATCAGCCTCTACCTCCTTTGCAATCTTTTCCACTGCCCTAATCACATGTTTGAAAGTCCAAGGGGTAAGGCTGTTGCTTCTAGCCCAAAAAATGACCACTTTTGAGTCTCCTTCCACTTCAATATACCTAAGTTCCAACTGCTTAGCTAGCTTCAAACCTTGTAGTAATTTCTGATTACTCCTCCTATACCTGACAGTCCCGGATTTCCAAGGGAGCTCCCATCAAATTTCAGTTTGATTTTTGTTGCCTTCTGGAGGTTTCCACTCCACCCTTATTGCATACTCTTTACTTGTTTTGTATGCGTGTTGGGATATGGATTCATGTAGCCAATCCCATATAGTTGGGATAAAGGCTTGGATGATAATGATGATACATGTTGGATGTGCAATTCAGTTGTCTGTTTTTTTTTTTTTTTGATATCTTCTGGGGGTAGACCATCCCCTAACCTAGGTGCAAGCGGGATTCAATCCTAAGTCTCTGCTATGACCAGCAGGAGATCACCTTGCACTCAGTTGTCTGTCTTTCTTGTGAATCTTATATTTTAAATAAGTTGGGTTGCTAGATATATGGGAATTTTCCTTCCTAACTTTAAATATACTTCGAAGTGGAGAAACTCATGTTAATTTAGAAAATAAAAGTAGTCAAAATTGTCATAGCTGTCTGCTTGGGAATTCTAGTTATATTCTCTCTTCTTTATGCACTTGTTCAAGGGGATGTAGGGAATCAAGTCTGCCTTCCTAAGTCAAAGGGGGGAGTTGGTTTATGTCCTCTAGACTTCATGAACATTGCCCTGCTGGGTAAATTGATCTAGCATAATGACATTGAGAGGGAAGTCTTATTGCAGATCATAACTCGGAGTAAATATGGTAAGGATGAAATGGGTTGGATCACTAATCCCATCTCCCAGTCTTATGGCTCAAGTTGCTAGAAGGGTATAATGAAGCATTTAGTCTTTCTCCCAGTGGTCTTCCTTCAAGGTGGGAAGTGGGGAGAGAATTTGTTTCTGGAAGGACATTTGGTATGGTACCTCTTCACTGACTGAGTCTTTTCTCTGCATCTTTGAATTGGCCCAGGACAAAGATGCTTTGGTGCAGAGTTATTACAACACTGCTGGAGGTCAAGTGGAATAGACACCTTGGCTGAGACGAAATATTCATGATTGAGATTGGGGGAGCTAAGCTCTTTGTTGGCAACCCTTAGCTCCATTTTCTCTCCTGTGGTGAACCTGATCACAGAATTTGGAGGGGAGTAAAGACGAGGTCTTCTCACCTTGGTGAAATCATTTTTCTCTTATGTTTTATCAGCTCAAGTTCAAACAAGGTTCCTTGGAAGTGGATTTGGAATTCAGGTGTTCCATCCGAGGTGGTGGTCTTTTCGTGGGCTGCAATTCTGTTATGGACGCATTCGTGGGGAAGAAGTACCGCCGCCGACAACAGCAATAACGTGGGACCCTCATCAGATTATCTAGCTAGCCACAGTTCATCTTACCTTATCCTTATCTTATTTGTTTTCTTACTCCTATCTTATCTGTAAGCAGTTTAGTTAGTCTTATCTAGGAGTCTTATCTATCTTACCTGTAAGCAGTTTAGTTAGTCTTATCTATATTATCTGTAAGCAGTTTAATTAGTCTTATCTAGGAGTCTTATCTATATTATCTGTAAGCAGTTTAGTTAGTCTGATCTAGGAGTCTTATCTATATTATCTGTAAGCAGTTTAGTTATCAAGGAGTCTTCCTACAAGGAGGACTCTTACCTCTTGTAATCTCCTATTTAAGGAGCTGAAATTATTGAATAAAGATATCAAATTTCCAGTCAAGAAAGAGAGCAAAAGGAGAGTTCGGTGATCTCTTGGACAAATCACCCTTTAGGACGCCAAGATAGGTTCGGCTAGGAAGGGGAGGAACAAGGGAAAACAGGAGCTTTTCCTCGTGGACCGACCCATGACGCGATCCTATTCCCAGGCCCATAACAAATTCTGAACAGCCCCTTCTCCTTGAAGGGGCTTTTTGTGTAATCTTTGGGGTTAATACCCACGGGACCCTACCAAAGCTTTCAGATACAAACAATTCTTTCCCAACCCTTACAAACAACAAAAAGAAGGCAAACAACCAGCCAAAACCCCCTAAGAACCACAAACCATCAATGAAGATTAGCCCTTTTCTCCAAACAAACTCTACTCCTTAAAGCCTTATTTTTTTTTCACTTGACCTCTCTTCCAATTCTCGGAACACCTTTCTTGCAAATTCCTCCCCTCCCAGAAAAGATATCCTAAAATCTTGTTAACTTGAACTTCTGTTTCCACTATTTTTTCCAGATCAATATTTCTTTCTACCTTCCTCACTCCATCAATGCTTCCCTCCTCAGCAATCTCTTCAGCTGAATTTTCCTTAACCCCCTCCAACCTCTTATCCCTTAGTAAAGGTTCTTCTTGATTTCCTGAGGTTAGTTCCAAACCCCTCTTGTCTGCATCATCTTCCAAAGAATTCAAAGCATTGCTTGTTTTTGCCAAATGCTGTGTTATAGGTTTGACTCATAATCCCTTCTTCTTGTAAATCCTCTTGAATTTACTACAAGGGCCGTTACCAACAAGACCTTCTTTCAACTGATGAAAGACTTTAGTGACATTCACCATCTGACCTTTACAAGAGGCTTTTGTTTTTTGTTTTTATTTTTCCTTTCTTTTCAAATCTCCTGCAGAAACAGTGTTGGTCCTAGACTCTACCAAAGAACTTACAACCCTTTTCCTTCCTAAGTCCACCCCAGCTTTCCAACAAACACTTCCATAACAGCATCCAAGCCCCTCAAATCTTCTTCCTCGGACAAAATCACGTGGTCCAAAAAACTCGTAGCTTCAACTCTTTCCTTATCCAACTTACTGCCTCCATTCTCAAGGTTAAACAAAACCTTCTCCAAAGCATGAATACATGACAAATTTTCCAAGTTGCCTTCTTTTCCAAACACCCCTCCGAAGTCCAGCCTTCACTGGAAAAAAACTGTTGATCAATGGCTTCTTCAACTAGTGAATTCTGGTCACTGCTTCACCACCTTCCTTCGCCTCATCTAACTGAGAAAATAAAGGTTTCTCTGTATCCAAAGCTTCTTCCCTGCTTTTATGTCAAGTGGCTTGTTAGATAAAGTGAGTAGAGTATAAGCATGATCAAGTGGCTTGTTAGATAAACATCTTCTCCAAGTTAATCCTATTTGAATAGATGCACTTGGGCCATTTCTTGTATGAATAAGTTAGCTCAGATTTGGTTTGTTTGACAGATTTACATATAGTTTCTGAAAACCCCATATTTGCTGATGTTGCTCATTCATTCATCCTAATAAAAGATATTTTTAAAAGACACTTAAAGTTATAAAACCTTTCTTTTTTATAGTGATTAAGAATTTAAGACCCTCATATGGACTTCTTTGAGCTTGCCTCGAGGGGCTTGGTACAATGGTGACTCCTAGAATCAAGAATGCATAATGTTTAACATCATATTAGCTATTTGAAGTAATGAAAATGGGACAAAATAAAGAGATTAGGAGTTTACATGCTTGAATATGTTGTTATTGCTTGATTTTATTTTTAAATTTTCATTTTAAATATGTTTTACATATTATGTTTATGTATTTTAATTTGAAATAATAGGTTTTTTAAAAAAATTATTTTAAAATTTAACTTTAAAAATTTATTTTTAAATTTTCATTTTAAATATGTTTTACATATTATGTTTATGTATTTTAATTTGAGATAATAGGTTTTTTTAAAAAAATTATTTTAAAATTTAACTTTGTATTTTTAATTAATAATTTGTTTAATATTTTGATAATTTGCATTTTTTTTCGAATTTTTTAGATTTTTGTGCACTTTGCTTCGAAAGGGCACACACCTCGCCTTTTGCCTTGGGCGCAAAATGGCCCTTGTGCTTTTTTTTTTTGCGCGTTTCACCTTTTTATATATATAGTAAACAGGCCATACTTTTGTTGGAGGCATATCCCACAACTCACATGGTACAGGCATATTCCTCTCTGATTCTGATTCAAGTGAACCTAAAATATTGGGAAGTTCATTTAAACGAGTCTGCCATCAATGAGTATTAGTACATGTATAGTTTGTACATTGAACAGTAAATAGATAAATTTATAAGTTATTCAGCAAACAACATTTATGTATAAATACTTTGCACTATTCATATAGGATAAAGGACAATAATGCAATAAACTTTGAAAATGACAACAATGCAATCAATAACTTGCAAAATGACATCAGGAAGCTCAAATTGTAATGGTGTGTTATAGTGTATAATGGTGTTTTAAACATAAATGGTGCAAAGGGGGTAAATGGATGTCAGACATTACATGCATTACAACATTAATTACTAGTTTATTTTTGGGGTAGAGAACAAGCATGCAATGGACTTTGTGGTAACAAGTTTTAATCTGTTGCTACATGATTCCAACACACTAAAGCTGATGTGGCAGTCCTAAATGGTTCAATGTCTTCATGCCACTCTTCAAGCAATAATTCTGCCCCAATAATCCTCTGAGATGTGTCAGAAATACATTTTTCCATAATTTAACAATGGATATGGCACTGAACAGAATGACTGAATGAATGGTGAAACAGTATTAATGTGGCCAACCCCATATAGTTGGGACAAGGCTTTGATGATGATGATGATGGTTTAGTTAAAAACATTGAAGAACATTCAGACCCCCAACTTTTTTTAATAATAAAAAACATGTTTTAAGCTTTCCAAAAAACCAAAATTTGAAAAAAAAAAGGTGTTTCAGCCGTTTCTAAGTACCGATACGATACGGCCGATATGCATATCGTATCTATACTTTGAACCTTGGCAGTATTCCCTCCCTGTGATCGCTGTACTTGAGCACATAGCTGTCAAGGCAATGCCTAGGTGATAGGGCGCTCTTCGATGATCGCCTCGTCCAAATGCTTACATATTTATTTGCAAGACACCTCGTAATATTTTTATATTTTTCTTTTATGTTATTAATAGTAGTACCATGGATATTAATTGACTAAATTATTCAGATTGTGGGTTTATAGTAATAGTATTATTATTCTTATTACTAGTTTCTTTTTATTATTTTCTTATTTGTTTGGGTTCAATCGACGCACAAGTCAGTGACATAGTCTTGAACCCTCTAAGACATTAAAACCTAAATCCACGAGTAAGAAATAACTTGACGATTTTATCCTATCGATGCACAAGAACAATCAATAGGATTTTTTTCTTTGTCACAATCTTCTTCTTCCTAGGACCAAAACAAGGCTCAGCCCTTATTTTTTGATATGGGGTTTATACTTATTTCATGAGGATTACAGTAATTATCTCCTAGTCGCTACTCTAGGCGACTAGGCAATAAGGTGCTTCCCTATCACCTAGTTTCGCCTTGGCACCTTGAGAATTATACTTGAGCATGAAACCATTGGTGAGCTTAGCCCAATTTTGGCCCTTCATACAGTTCATTAGGTGGTGTGAGTTGACTCTTCTCCTTTTGGTGGATAGCACTAAGATTTATTATTAATATATAAGTCTATTATTTTATAGTGAAAACAATCATGCTCATTGAAAAGGTTTGGCTGATGCATTAGCAAAGCAAGGTGTTAATAGCGAGACTTTGTTGTTTTGGGTATTTTTGTAAGATGGTTGTCATATTAGGGGTCACCTTACTTTTTGAAGGTGACAGTTGTAATTTTCTTCCTTAAAGTTAATGAAATTTATCATTTCCTATCAAAGGGGGGGGGGTGTAACAGAAAGAGGGTGAAGATTGGAATGTTCTGCTCAACTGGGTTTAGTTGACCCTTTGTGTTGATGGAGGGTAGAAAGCTTGAAGATGCCATCTGTTCCTAAAGTGTGAACTCTTTGGTGCAGGATATTGTTTCATGCTTCTGTGACTGCATTTATAGCTTTCTATAATTTTATTTATTGTATTGACTTTTTAGTAGCTTGCTTGTGATTGTATCTTCTCTTTTGTTCTAATCATATCTTCTTGTTATTGATTAAATATTGATGCTTAATCGCTGGTCACCATTTTCTGAGGATAAAGTGCAGTTGGTATTATATTCATGCATATGATACAAGCATTCGAGTATCTAATTTTGACAATAAAAGGTTTATCCTACTACTGTGTCCTTCCAACCAGCCGTTACAGGGTTTTCACCGCACAGAGTGATTAGCATCTAAACACAGTCTCCCTATCCATGACAGCACCATACCTTGGTTTTCTTGAAATTTTCATAAGAAGCAACAATGAAAAAGAAAAGAATATGGTCCTTTTTTTCCACATAGATGTGAAACTTGTCATAGAAAAATGATTGGCTGGATGTATGCATCCATTTTGAACTGCCAGGCTGGAGTGGAAAAGAAACTGGATTCTAGGTTTTTGTTTAGCCTTTCTTGGTATGGGCTTTCAATTAATTCTTTATTCCTATCTACTTTTTTTTTATCAATTCTTTATTCCCATCTTCTAATGAACTTGCTTGTCATCAAAATGGTGAAAGATACCAGTGTTGCACCTTATTTGTTTGTTGTTCATGTAGGCTGATTTCTTAGAGAGGGTAATATATACAAAATTCGTTATCATTTTGTATTTATGAAAACCAATAGAAGAATCAATTGCAATTTTGTGCTTATTGTAGAATAGTGAATTTCTTCCATAAATGTAGGTGCCTATTAGCCTATTTGGACTGTTGCTTTGATAAAATTGCAGGAAGAAATGGTTTTCTGTCATTATATATTAGAGTTAAAAAGGTCTATTGAATCATTGGCGTACAGTACTTTTGAAGTTCAGGGCATGATTGTGGACCCAGTATTGTAACTGTTTAATTTCACTTCTCCAATTGTTTTCTATTGATGTTTTCTTTTCCAATTTTCCCATATAGATGGTCTATCATAAGAAAAAAAAGAGTGCCATCTTTATGGAACAGAAAAACATTTTATTTCATTTTCCTCGCTTGTAACAGGTTTGTTTTGAGTTGTGCTTTTCTTTATCTAATTGTTTGATTATTATTGTTTTGCAGGACTAAAATTTTGAAAGCAGTGGCCATGTCGTCATCATGTCTCCCTGCCACAACGGACTCAATAGCACAGGCTTTAGAAGCCAAGGACCCAGCTGAAGCTATCTCCATCCTTTACCGTATACTTGACAACCCATCCTCTTCTTCAGAAGCTCTACGCATAAAAGAACAGGCAATTTCAAATCTATCAGACCTTCTCAGACAAGAGAATAGGGCTGAGGAGCTGCGGAGTCTTTTGACCCAACTGAGGCCCTTTTTTTCCTTGATTCCCAAAGCCAAGACTGCAAAGATAGTGCGGGGAATAATTGATGCGGTAGCCAAGATACCAGGAACATCTGATCTCCAGATATCCCTTTGCAAAGAAATGGTACAATGGACTCGTGCTGAGAAACGTACATTTCTCAGACAACGAGTAGAGGCAAGGCTTGCAGCCCTTTTGATGGAAAATAAGGAATATGCAGAAGCTTTGACCCTTCTCTCAGGCCTTGTCAAGGAGGTTAGGAGATTAGATGACAAGCTTCTTCTAGTGGACATAGACTTGTTAGAAAGTAAACTCCACTTCTCTCTGAGAAACCTTCCCAAGGCAAAGGCTGCACTAACAGCTGCAAGAACTGCTGCAAATGCTATCTATGTCCCTCCAGCTCAACAGGGCACCATAGATTTGCAGAGTGGGATTCTCCATGCAGAAGAGAAAGATTATAAGACTGCATACAGCTACTTTTTTGAAGCATTTGAAGCCTTTAATGCTCTTGAAGATCCCCGGGCAGTTTTCAGTCTGAAGTACATGTTATTGTGCAAAATCATGGTTAATCAGGCTGATGATGTTGCCGGGATAATATCTTCCAAAGCAGGCCTGCAGTACGTGGGACCGGAGTTGGATGCTATGAAAGCTGTCGCTGATGCTCACTCAAAGCGCTCCTTAAAGTCCTTTGAGACTGCCCTGCGAGATTACAGGGCCCAGTTGGAGGATGACCCAATTGTCCACAGGCATCTCTCTTCCTTGTATGACACACTCTTGGAGCAAAATCTATGCAGGTTGATTGAGCCTTTCTCAAGGGTTGAGATTGCTCATGTTGCTGAGCTGATTGAACTGCCTGTTGATCATGTGGAGAAGAAATTGTCTCAGATGATCCTAGATAAGAAGTTTGCTGGGACTTTGGATCAGGGTGCTGGGTGTCTCATCATTTTTGATGATCCCAAACCAGATGCCATCTTCCCAGCAACATTGGAAACCATTTCCAACATTGGCAAGGTTGTGGACAGTCTCTACATAAGATCTGCCAGGATAATGGCCTAAGGATTTCATGGTGAACTTGGATTCATTTTGTGTTTCTTTTCTAGTTAAGTTCTTTCTTGTCTTATCCAAAAGACATTTAGATAGGCAGATCTGTCATCATCTTCCCGTCTGTTCTTATATCTTGGATATAAGATGCATATCGGTTGTATGCTACATTTCGAGAACTAGTTGCATCTTTTATAATTGACACTGGAAACTGGGGTTATTTGATAATCTGAAATTACCTGAATTATTTGGTAGGTGTTTGGTAACGTGGCTGTTTTCAGTGAGGTGTTTTCTACTGGGAACAGCAGTGCAACAGAAACGGCCACGAAACGGTTTGGCAATGTTGCTGCCATGTATGATTACATGCAATGGTTTCACCCATGTTAAAAAGGTCACATTGGTAATGTTGCTGCCATTTTACGTCACATCATCCTTGCGAGAGACCAGTTTTGTTTTATCCCAAATTCACAGTTTTGACTGTTTTCTATTTTAATTATTTTTTTTTATTTTTTTAATTTTTTGTCAAAATAAACCATCTGTTTGAACAATACAGGTGAACCGTCAACCCAGAAACTGATGGCCAGAACAGTTCTGGTTCCGGGTCAGTTTTTAACACATTGTGTATAGGGGCTGCATAAGATTTACTAGATGCGCTTGGCAACACTTGCAACGGTCCTTGGAGGGGAGTTCTCCCAGGAATTGGAGCTAATTAATTGCTATTATGCTGTACATTTCATCAAAGTTGATGGAGAACATTTCCTTACCATAATTTGTGCATTTTTTCTAAGTTTGTTCTTTGGGCTCTGTTTGTTTGCTTGCAATGCAAATCTGAACCCGTTAAAGATTTTGCACTTGTTCAATTTTGCATCCATTTGTTTGTAACTATAATTTGCACCTCTACCTGATATAAATTTTTAACTTTTTATCCCACTAGTAATTAAGCACATGTACATGAAATTTTTTTTTTCATATTAATTACTTGAATTTTACATATATCATATTTAAGATATAAATTGAAAATTAAAAAAAAAAAGTAACAATATGACTAAAAATAAACTTAAAAATTTATTATTCAATTATGACATCATGCGTTTTTTTGAAAAGTTGGACCATTGACCCACCATCTAGATAAGAATTGTAGAAATAACATTGCTTTTGGATTAGTTTTAAATTAAGTGAAATTATAGTTGGAGCCAGCTATACATTTAAAATTTGGTTACAATTTGATCCATAAACCAACAAAACTCTAACAAATGGCTCTACATTTTAAGTTATAAAAGCACTCGCCATGTCATCAGAGGGTTATGTGGCTATTGCCAACATGGGACTCTTAATCCATATTGGACATAATAAAAAGCTTATACTGAAATTGCCCTTTAATGCTGGGTGATTGGAAAATAAAAATAAGGTTTTTAGTCTCTCTCTCTCTCTCTCTCATAGTCAGCTTTATCTGCTCAACAACTATCATGGTGTTTGAAAGCGTAGGTGCTTTTTGGGACCGATTTTCAAGAAAAAACGTCCATGCTTCTGAGACCCGTTTTTCACAAAAAAATGCTTCTGCCACGTAGGCAGTGAGCAACACTATGCTATTTGGTAAAGTGATTTTTCATCACCGTTTTTTATGTATGTGCTGACAGGAAAGCACCATAGGATACACATCAATCAACCGTTGGGGGAAACGGTTCATTGATGCATGAAATGGGTCCCGATGTTAGAGGCATGCCTGATTTTTTAATAATTGGCTGAACCAAACAATGAGATACATGGGTATTTGTTGAAACGCCTATATGGATCTAACGTGGCACCGTTTTTTGAAAAACGACCACGGTTCCAAACATCCCCTATGTGATTTGAAAATAAATAAAAATGGTTTTTGGTTTATGTATTTACATTCTCTATATTAATTTCTCTCATTCTCTCTCTCTCTACCTGTCGTTCTCCCTCAATCTCTCTCATTCTCTTTCTTGGTCGATCTCTCATTCTCCCTTAATTTCTATCGTTCTCCTTCAGTCTCTCTCTCTCTCATTTTTTTTCTTATTTTCTTACACATATATTGTATTAATCAGATCATATAAAAGAACATAAGACCAACATATGTTTCAAAAATTATTACACCAATTTGATAAAATTCACAAGAAACTCTTGGCTATGAAATTTACACCAATTGGAGAACGATAGAGATTGAGGGAGAATGGGATTTTGACCAAGAGGAAGAGTGAGGGAGAAGAATGAAAAAGATTGAGGGAGTAATAGAGAGATGTTTTGATTTGGCTACAGACCAAAGCAGAGAGAGCGGGAGATCAAGAGATGACTGTGAGAGCGAGAGAGAGAAGGGAGGGAGATTGAGAGATAAAAGGAGTGGGAGAGAAACTGAAAACCTATTTTCGATATAGGCTTTCTGCTGTGTCCAACATGGAATAAGAGTCCCATGTTGGCAACAACCACATAAGCCTCTAATGACACGGCGAGGGTTTTTACAATTTGAAATGTAGAGTCAGTTTTCAGAGTTTGGTTGGTTTCTGGACCAACCTGCAACCTAATTTTAAATGTACAACCAGATTTGACTATAATTTTTACTTCAAATTATATATTTCATTTACATTATATAATTTTTTTTTTACTTATCACACTTGAAATTTTGTTTGTCTATAATATCATATTACTCAAACCACTAACCCACCATCTAAAAATAAAAATTGTTTGATTTCTAGGTTGACATTAAATTTTGTATTACATTTTCATCATTGATAAAATTATTTTTGTTCAATATAATGAATGTACAATATTAGAGATGTATCCAATATTTTATTTTTTATAAATATATAACATTAGATATGTAGCCAAAATTTTCTTTTATCTTTTTTTTTATTTTTGTGATTCTTTGTATTTTCTATTATTAAAAGTTTTATTATTTGTCTATGAAATCATTTAATTTCTAGGTAGATTTTGAAATTGGCTTTCCATTTTCATCATTAATAAAAATACTTTTTACATTTCATAGCTATTTATTTTAATTTTTATTATTTAATTATGGCATTATTTATTAATCCATTTGATTCCAAATGGTCAAATTGCTTGCCCGCCACCGAGAGGGAAGAAAAATGATTTTGTTTTCAAATTACTTTTCAAAATATTTATTTCTATACTATTAAAATTAATATTATGGATTTAATTACAAGAATTTAATGATGAGAAAAATATATTTTAAATATAGGATTTAACGAGAGAGAATAGGAAAATATTTTTATTTTCAATTGGTTTTAAATTTTACATTCCATTTTCATCATTAATAARAATATTTCTTATTTAACATACTTATTATTGTTTAATATGTATGTTAAAAATGTTCCCAATTTTTTTAATTTCTTTTTTTTTATTTTATCTATTTTTTACTTTTATTATTTAA